ACCGAAAACTAAACTGTTAATATTTATACAATAATGTGATATTATTTACTTTAATGTAAATTATCTTAATTTTGACTTTTGGTTTGATCCAATAATAGTCTCATTTATAGCTTTATTCAACAAATGATAATGCGAATGAAGTAGCAGATTCCTCCTCTTCTCGTAATGCTTTATATCCAAGCGAAGCAATCTGAACGACGCCGTTTTGAGAATCTCCCACTTTCTTTTTCCCTCTGCAACCTCTTTTCGTCTTGGGCATTATTGTTCTGGAGGCTCGAGGATGGCTTGCTTACACGATCACAGTTGCGAAGATCACGATTGTTCTTCTGATTGGTCTTTATACAAGCACATAGACCTTCCCAGAGTTAGTGCAAATCTCTCTCTCTCTCTCTCTCTCTCTAGCACACGAATTTTCTTCTCTGGCAATGCTTATTACGACTTCGAATCACTCAAAACTAGTTCGTATAATCATTTTTCCTGCGAGCAATTTGAAATTTCATGGTCCTGGCTTTGGATTTTAGTAATCTCCATACCCGTTAGCTGCATGAGTATATCCTGCTGTTTTTCTCAACTGCAGGTGCTTAGATTTTTTTATTTTTTGTGAATAGCGATCGCCCATGGTCCTGAATCTTTTCTTCTGTCATTGGCTTTGGTTCATCACGTGCAAATTGGGTTTGTATTAGTTAATTACTTTTTTCCAAGTTGGGTTTATAGCCCAGCTATTTGACAAGAAGTCAATAATTTATATCTGCATATTTAAAGGATCTGGAAGAGAATGGTGCTGACATTTCTATCGTTTAGTTCATATCTGAGTCTTGTAAGAGATGAACATCGTACGCGTATTAAGAAAATCAATGATTATATACTAATTGATAAAGTTTTAGAAATATATTTGTTGCCAGAGCCATCTAGGCGAGAGGTCTTGCAAACTTAGAGGAGTTTTTCAATAACTGGAATAGCTGAGTGAGATGTTGAAAATGTTGATAGATTTTTCCACGAAACTTTGAATGCATAAGATTACCAGCAGATGCTTGGAATAAATACTATGGGCGTGGTGTTGTTGAAAATGATAGACCTTCCTGTTTATTTTAAGGCTAGAAGAAATGGGTGAGATTAGATTGAATATGTTGGATAATCGAAGCTATTTAAAGTGAATTACTCATAAAATCGTACTAGCATGACAATGGCCCCTTCTCCCTATAGCATGTTTCGTGTAAGCTTAACAAGCGCAGTTACTTAATTGCCTCGTTGATAATTGTGGACGGAATCGATTGGATCTTATAATTGACTTTCATGGGAGAGCCTTGAACTTTTATTTGTCTTGATCCTGCTGGTTTTTAATTGTAGATGATTACATGTCGAACCCACACATAGAATACATTTTTGTTTTCTCAAAGGAACCAGTGGAAATTTTATTTTTGGTCATAGGTTCTGTTATTTTCTAGGTTTCTGCTTTGAATGAGGCGACTCCAGGAAGTGTGAAGACTGTATTTAAAGCTTGGGAGCATCGGTTAAATTCATCCGGGGTACTTAACCGCTATGCTTGTGTGTATTAATACCATGTGCTCTGTTACTAAGATAATGTAGCCTCATGTATTTTTTTTTTTCTATGGCAGGATCACTTAGAAAGCAACGAGGGTGATCCCGAACTGATAGTTTTCATCCCGTAGGTGTCTTCAGTACTTCTTGATTCCAGCTATACCTAATACCTCAATAACATTGAGATTTACTTGATTAATATGTACGATTATTGTAATGCTCATTCATAATTTACATTTGATGTAAAAAAAAATGATAGTTTCTCAACCATCACATCTATATATCTCAGGTTGAATTTATGAAAATAAATAATTTTGTGAAATGTAACTTATCGTGACTTTCCCATTTGTTTATTCTTCTAGGAAAATCCATGACCTTCCTAAAAGGTCCTCGTATGTACTCAACTATTTCACCTATGTTTGCATATTGTTAAATAATGTTGGGAAACGTAGTTTCATGTTCCTACTTAAGAGAAACATGTCTATATTAAGAATCTGTGCTTGTTGGCTAGTCTGAAACTTCGAAAGCGGTCATGGAAAGAACAATCTACATTTCTGATAGCATCATTTCACGATGATTTCTATGCCTGTATGGTGTGTACTTTTTGTGTTCTGGGCCTACTTCCTGTTTCTAAAAAATTCATTACCACTTATTTGATGATTATTAGATTTACATCAGATGTTAAGATCAAAAGCATAGCAATCATTGGTGGTCCAGATGGTACTAGTCCTTCAAAGATGCGAGCGTAAGTAAAATTTTCTCGAACTTTCTGGCACTTGGTTTTCTATGTTATATAGTAAGATTTATCACTTCTGTCTCTGCATTAGTTCTTGTAAGTCAATTATCCCATACTTCTCGTTCGTAATTAGGTTTATCAACCGAGAAGGTATTGACTTCTCTGATGCTCAAAGTATGCAAGCTGTTCAGGTACTGCCTGTTAGCTTATCTAGAGGTTCATGGAGAAATCTTTTAACGTCTAAACATATGTTGTAATTGTAATGCATTTTATATTATTTTTAGGAGTGGGATTTGGCTGAGAATTTGCAAGGAGTATTAGAGTACCAGACAAGGTAAGGATGCTTTGTAGAACAACACATCTTTCTGTTTGTCTTAATGTTTGAATTGAGAGCTAAAAAGTTGAGCATTATCTTTTCTCCTTACGAGTAATTATTCTTAATCTGTGAGTTCCGTTCAATGTTAGATTACAATTATTTTTTGACTTCTAGTTTATACACATAATCAGATATTCCAAATTTCAAAGTGTGGCAAATATTACTTTGCATTTTCCTGACAATTATGGCGGTGACACGTCTCAGATACACTACATTGGGTTGAAAGGTGAAGCCACACAGGTAAAGTTGTCACAAAGAATCAGTTGATGTTTTTGTTGGTTTAAGTAACTAAATATCTTCATTTTAATCAACAGCTAAAGAGAGATGTTGTTGCAACTATTGTTTATGAAATTACGCCAAATCCTTCTGACCACAAGTAAGTGACATTTCCCTTCATGGACGGTATTGAATGTATTCTTCTTGTGCTTTTCCTTCAAGAACGCATTAACCTAAGCGGTTTTCACTCAGTTCAGTCGCCATGGTAGACAATACTGCATTCATTATAGCTATACATTGTAACATCCTAAGCCCACTGTTAATAGATATTGTATTCTTTGGACTTTCCCTTTCGAACTTTCCCTCAAGGTTTTTAAAACACGTCTGCTAGGGAGAGATTTCCACATCCTTATAAAAAAATGTTTTGTTCTCCTCCCCAACCGTTGTGGGATCTCACATTCATTCTGCTCGTACATTTTTGGTTTATTTTCTCTCAAGTTACTATCCTCTAGTTTTGGCCACAATCCTCTACTTTTCCTCTCGACTTTCTAGCATACCACTGCATTGATTTATTAACAGTTTCTTATCTATTTGCTGTTCTGGGGTTTTGATGAAAGTTCCATTTGCTAATTAGCATAAAATTTGGGATTGTTTCAAAAGTGATACAAGCTAATGCCAACGAGCGTTTGAAACACTCGGTGGACCGAGATGCTTATTTACTGCCGTTATTCTCATATGCTTAGATTGTATCTCATTAGTGCCTTTTCAGTCCCCTAAATGGCTAAGCTTGTGCTCATGCACAGGACTCGAGCTGAAGGTGGTGCGGGATTTTCACATGTTGAATGAAGAAATATTTGCCTTCCTCCTTTCTGAAACATTCCATCTGTATAATCTCTACTGGATGCTGAGTCTTAACTATTTTGAGTTGCATTTGCATTTCCTTCCTGCGCTTCTTTTTGTCTAGTAACTGGAGAATCTCATCAGTTTCATGGAAAGAAATGGACCCTCTGATGTTGATTGGAAATTTGGTACTTAACGAAGTAGTGTTGAATTGTTGAGACAAGTTTCACTTCAGCTTAATGTTCGAACCAATTCAGTCTTTATTTTTGCCTTTTGTTTTCTGTGGAGTTGAGAAGAACACGTTTTTCTTTTTCCCCTCAATGAAGTTGAAGTTAATCAATTTTTATTTAGATTGCGTGTATGTGAGGATTTCAAGTCCAATATATTATTATATCCATCTCATGAATTATTGCTATGGTCCCCATCCTAGAGAAAACCACCTCCTCACCAAGTCTAGGGTACTTGATGGCATATGGAAGCTAAAACCAAGAGTCAGCCCATGTTGGTGACCTCTGGTGACCTCAGATGCCAAGGAGGGTAGGCTTGAGTGTCACGGTAACATTTGTTTAAGACATGTTCTCCGTGGACGTTAATACAAATTGACTTGACTCACTTGGTATTGGAAGTGAATGTCGCACAATTGCAAAATTCATTGTCAAGAAAAGTGTGATTGTGACATTGTGCACTACTAGATACTCTCGGGATATAAAAAAAGTTTTGTATAAAACCTTGACATTGTCTATCAACAATTGCATCAACTGATGATTCATAGCGGTTTTGAGCCATAGATATTACTGGTTATGGTATACTTTGTGTCTAAATAAAAGAAGATTTTCATCTCTAAGTTAAAATCAAAGTACATGAGAGGCCACCTCTCTCCTCCTCTCAAAAGACCAAGGGAGAGACGAAGACTAAGCCAAACAGTCTATTTATACATACGGATTCCTCAAAAATGAAAAAAGAGCCGGCCCGCCCCTGACCTGCTGGGTTGGGTGGCCAGGTTAGCCCCCACACACCTTTTAACAACCCATAGGTAAATTAAATATTCGAGATTTGACAATTTTACAAGGGTGAAAAGGACGAATCAATATGAGTTTTAAAAGAATAATGGAATAGTTCGAACTAGTTGTGGGAGTGGGTAAATTAATACCTAATAAAATATGAAATGAGATTTTCTCCAAAAAAACAAATAATTATAATAAAATAAAGTTTCAGAGAAGAGGGCCTACACGTAGATGCGTAGATTTTTCAACACGAATCCCCCTTCGAATATATAATGGTGAAAGTCGTTGGCGCGCCCAACGCAAAATTGGGTACCAATCAAGAGTTTCCAGATCCTTCCGTCCCGTTCCTCCTCGTTCGGATTCAGCGTTTCCAATTCTCAAATATTTTTATTCAAGATCGTCTCTGTGAATCCACTCTTTCTGTCATTTCTACATTCGACACTGCTCAAGTTCTTCTTGGATTTTGGATTTGGATACAACTTTTTTCCAATTTTTGACTCCATGGACGCGACCTCTTCCTCTGGCGCTCTTTCTAATGTGAAGCTTCTCAGTTCCAATAAACTCAATTCGGATCACAGGGTTCCCACGTAAGTTGTCTAATGTATCACTTGTGCCTTCCTTCAGCCTTTGCTTGTTGTTTGCGAATGATGATCGGATTCTTAAGTCGCCTTTTGTTGTTACTTCGGAAATTTTCGTTTTATATTATCTGTAGCGTCTGCAAATTTCCGCTCCATATGAACTTTATGTTGATTATTGGATGAAATTACCATATGTTGCAATGTTCGTGCAGCCTGAAACTAGGCATATGAATTTAATTCTGCAAATTTGGAACCAGTCCCCTTAGCTCGATCACTGTGAACTTGTGTGAATGATAATAACAGGGTTGACCAGAAGGAACGTTCTTTGAATTCAAGATGCCACGGCAATGGCATATCTTTTTATACAAGTTCTCAGGTATTTTATTATAGAAGTTAAGAATTCAACATTTGTTTTTCCTTTTTCAGGCTGTTCTCCTTGCCGAAACCTCTCGTGTCTTTATCTTGCAAATCCTATAGAAATTTGCAAGTTCGTGATAAGTCTACATCTCAAGGATTAGTGGTTTCTTGTTCTAGCTCCATTAGTCACAGAGATGTGATGCAGGGGTTACACCTTTCTGGCCCCATTGAGAAGAGAAGTCGTCTTGGACAAGCATTTTGCTCGGTAGGAAGTTTCACCTGTGGTGAATATGCTTTAGAATCTCGCTCTCAGGCAGCGGAAGAGAAGGTTGGAGTTCTGCTTCTGAATCTAGGAGGGCCAGACACGCTTGATGATGTTCAGCCATTTCTGTACAATCTATTTGCAGATCCGGTAGCTTAGTTAATATTATGTATCTAGAGCCTTAATAACATATTAACGTGTCAACATATATCGGTTCTCACTTATTTGCATTAAACATAGGATATTATCCGGCTCCCAAGGTTGTTCCGTTTCCTCCAAGAGCCATTGGCCAAATTAATATCTACCTTTCGTGCTCCCAAAAGCAAAGAAGGGTATGCTTCAATTGGAGGTGGCTCACCTTTGCGTAAAATAACAGATGAGCAGGTTGATTGACCTCTCTCTTGTTCCCCTCTACTTGTTCATTATGTCATATCTCCAGTTGGGTATAAGAAAATCTTCAAATATTTAAATTTGTGTATACTGGATGCAGGCACAGGCGCTTAAAATGGCTTTGGAAGAGAAAAACACATCTGCTAATGTCTATGTGGGAATGCGCTATTGGTACCCTTTCACAGAGGAAGCAATTCAGCAAGTACGTTCTACATTTTTTCTTATTTCCCTTGCCTTATAATTCAAATGCGGGGGGGAATTTTATATTTACTACAGACCACGTGTTATTTCTCAATGTGCCTGTATCTTCAGACTTTAGCATCGTATTTTAGAGATGTTTGAAGTCCTTAATAGTCACTATATTTAATTTAAATATTGGTGGTTCCTTTCGCTGTTTGTGGCAGATTAAGAGGGATGGCATAACAAGACTTGTGGTGCTGCCATTATATCCACAGTACTCTATTTCCACAACTGGGTCTAGTATTCGTGTTCTCCAGAAGATTTTCAGGTGATGACTCAGTCCAGTATTATAATATTTTGATTTTATTTTTTTAAAATAAAAGAGGGATAAAATTGCTTCCAACTTGTTGACTATGACTGTCTATCAGGGAAGATGCATATCTCTCAAAATTGCCTGTTTCAGTTATAAAGTCCTGGTATCAACGTGAAGGGTATATTAAGTCCATGGCTGACTTGGTTCAGGCAGAGCTGAAGAATTTTATCAATCCTCAAGAGGTCCTTGATCTTTGCTGAAACTGATTTTAGAGAGATACTTTAGTTTATGCAACATGATTGTCCCAGTCAATTATTTTCTTATATATAGCATCATTTGCACCTTAGGTCATGATTTTCTTTAGTGCACATGGGGTTCCCGTCAGTTATGTTGAGAATGCTGGAGATCCATACAAAGATCAAATGGAGGAGTGCATCTACCTAATCATGCAAGAGCTGAAAGCCAGAGGAATTGGGAATGAGCATACTCTTGCTTATCAGGTTAAAAATAAATTTTGAGCTTTGCTTGGCTTCTTATCTTTTTCTTGCTTTCAACTATTCAGATGTTCTTTATTTCTTTGTTCCTAAGTACACGCATGTGGAATTTCATTCTTGGTTATGTATTTCATGTTCAGAGCCGAGTTGGACCTGTACAATGGCTGAAGCCATACACAGATGAAGTTCTTGTTGAGCTTGGCCAGAAGGGTATTAAGAGTCTCCTAGCCGTTCCTGTGAGGTATGGTTTGTTCATAAACTATAAATGGATGAACTGTTATCGATTGTTGATTTTGATTCCATGTGTATGTTCATAATTCTAGGAGGTCCTATTATTGCGTATAATTTAAAATATTCATAATCTTGGTAATCAGATCTGACCTTAGAGTGAATGTCAGTTGGACTAAATCATATAACAAGTATATATATTCGTGCGAGCCTAACAATGCAGAAGCTTTGGCCCAATAAGCATTATGCTGTTTGAACGTATTTACAATTGGTTTTACTTGTTTCGAAGACGTGGAGAAGCAAATGTTCAGCGAAGTTCGATTTTTCTCGCATTCCTATGTTGTTTTTTTTATTCTTCTGCCTTTCTGGCGTTTTATTTATAATAATTTTACGTCTCTTCCCAGCTTTGTGAGCGAGCACATTGAGACTCTTGAGGAGATAGATATGGAGTATAAGCACCTGGCACTTGAATCTGGGATCGAAAACTGGGGTCGTGTGCCTGCTCTCAATTGCAAATCTTCTTTCATTTTGGATTTGGCTGATGCAGTGATCGAAGCCCTTCCATCCGCTACAGCTTTGTCGCCCCACGCAAGCTCAACAGATGCAGATGATTGTGATCCTTTCCAATATGCTATCAAATTGCTATTTGGTTCAGTCCTCGCAATAATCTTGTTACTTTCACCAAAAGCATTTCTGGCTTTTAGGAATAATTTCATTTATAGACCATAGCCATCTCAGATATCGCTAGGATTGGGTGAAATGTCATATTTTTTGGGTTAAGGGGTTTGATTTAATTACTTTTGGGAAAAAGAATAGAAATTTACCATCATCGATATATTACCTTTTGTATAACTTCTCTATTTTAGGGAAAATACTGCTGTATTTACCACACAATATATCACATTCATAAAAATGGAGGATTCAGCGTTTTAGAAAACTGTTTATGTAACACCCGACTCATAATCGTATAGATGAAGTGTTATAGTTTAGGTAAATGCCTTTTGCGAAGACTTTTGCATTCACAATCAAAACGAGTCGTAAGGATTGAATCTCAATAACTATTCAATTCCCTGCAACCAGGAAACAGCCGAAGAGAGAGCAGGTCATTTGGAAGAGAGAATAACAAAAAGTCCGGAGCCTTTTTAACCGTACCAAAACCCAATAATACAAGTAAATAATTCAGACATTAATGAGGTCTCATAATACTACTTGGCCTACTAAAACCTAACCGAAGGAACAAAGTAACCCGTTCTCCACAACAAGACGCCTAATGAACACACATTGATTAACTTTTTGGCGATGCTTTTGCAACCCCACTTTGAGGCGCTGTCTGAGCAGCCGATGCAGAGTCATAGCCCCCACGAGTAGCCCCACCAGCATTTCCCTCAGAAGAATATGGAGGCTGAGGGTAACCAGCACCATAAGAGGAGCTATATGAGGGTGGAGCTTGTCCGTAACCTGCCTGATTTGTTGGAGGAACACCATAAGGCGGTGGTGCAAACCCTGGCTGAGCAGCAGTACCATAACCGGATGGTGGAGCACGCTGAGAAGCAGAATCTGATTGAGTGTACCCAGACGTGGGAGGCTGAGAAGTGGAATATCCAGACGGCAATGCAGCAGGTTGCCCATAGCCACTGGGTGCGCTCGGTGACTGGGTGCTCTGACCATAGGCAGGAGGATTTGCAGGCTGTTTCTGAGTCTGAGGAGGTCCATAACCAGCCCCATACCCAGTCTGAGCAGCTGGTTGATTTCCATAGCCAGTTTGGGAAGGTGCGGTCATTCCGTACCCTGACTGATTTGGTGCAGGGACAGGCTGCTGATTTGCACCATAACCTTGCTGGGTCACAGAAGAGGATTGTGCAGGAGGGACCGTCTGTGATGAATCCCCCTGTGACCCATATGAATTGAGCCCATCTTGGCTTGCATTAGCCACACTACCATAGTTTGCAGCAGAACCATAACCTTGCTGATCATATGTGGGCTGGCTGTAACCCGACTGAGGTGCATGGTAATTACCACCATAGCCATCTTGAGAATATCCTTGTTGACTATAAGTAGAGGCTTGTGGTTGACCATAACTGTAACCACTGTTGTCTGCTGCAGCACCAGGACCTCCAGATGTCTGCTGTTGCTGAGTGGGCTGTTGACTGTAGTAATCATAACCACTTCCCTGAGTAGCAGGTTGATTTGTTGGAACGGTAGACTGGTCCCAGTTAGAAGCATATCCACCAGTTGACGGTTGGGAATAACCCTGATAAGGAGGTTGTGGCATGTTATACTGAGACGAAGGAGCAGAGTATCCACCTTGTTGTCCATAGCCATAACCAGGTTGCTGCATTGGTGGAGCCCCAGGAGGCCCCCAACTTGAAGGGGGACGAGCTTGATAACCTTGTTGGTTATACCCTCCCGACATACCTGAATTTCTCACACGATTCTGGAAAAAATCATGAGGATAAATAAAAAGGTGAATCTTTCTCAATTAACGTGAGATACCAACAAGGCGCATAGTAAAAAGGGTAAAGCACAACATTCATGAGTGAATTGGAAATAAAAGGCCAAATCTGAAATCAAGGGTATACCAAAAAGAGTAAAGACTATAGTCAGTATAGTATGTTTTGTAGAGGGATTAAAGGAGCTTATACTGCATTAGGAAGAGCATAAAACACCAACATACCGTACTGGATGGTGAGTTATTGAGTTACTCCAGCAGAAGCTCAACCTCTCCCTATTCGAAGTGAATGGGTTCAAAGAGAACCAGACGACTACAAAAGCTTTTACAGAGCAGAATATATGAACTTAATTGTTGCCCCAAAAGACAAACAAGTTCATAGCAAAGCACAACAAAAGCAATGTCTTCCCAATTATCAAATCTTATATAGAAGAATCAATTAGCTGGATATCAAGCTAAATCATAATGACCTCATAGAGAACCAAATCTCTAGACGCCAATAGAAGATGATGAAGTGAAAATATCTTATAGTCCAAAGAATTTTACCACAAATTATTGAGAAAAAAATACTTCCAAACACTGAGAAGCGTGGATGATGAGAAAGAATACATCGACAGTATATGCAAACCTTTGAAGGAAAATAAGAAGAAAAAAAACAATAATAACTATTAAAGATTGAAATAAGAAATATTAAAAAAACAGTCCATAAAAATAACTCATTACGAGAGAAATTTTTTATAGACTAAAAGTTGAAACGTTCCTACAAATTAATCCACCAGAAAAAGAATGGTAGTATGGTAAGGTGACTTTCGAAATTGTACTTACGACCTAGAATATCCAACAGATAAACCTGCAACTTCTCTCCACACCACTTTATGTCATTATAATATGGGATTCAGAACCATACCAGTGTAATGCTGAGAGAACACCAACATAAAGGATTCCATGTTAGTGTCACTAATGGTCCAATAACCCTAAGCCTACAATAGTTCCCAATAACAATGTCAGTTGCAGGATACACAATTAATAAGCACGTGTGATGGTTGAACAGGCCATAATCCCAACAATATAACACTTAGATATAAAACCAAGAATAATACCAAATGGGCTGCAGCATCTTAAATAGGAGATATCATATAACCTTAACAACCTAATAAGAAAAATATTGACTGATAAACTGAATATCCAAAGGAGCCAGCATATCACCAATGGGAATCTTTCTGATACAAAAATCACTCGTCAAAAATTTACTTTATCTGTAAAATAAGTTCACCTCTTTCCAAACCCAGAACTTATGTCCACCCCTGCATTAATGGATATATGGAATAAACAACTGCAGATATAATAACAAATCCAGATTGATTACAGGTAAATGACCTAAAATCTCTCTCAACCTATAAGAGATCCAAAAGTACACCACGTTGGTATATTCCAACGCTTCTAACTCCTTGAGTGAAACTACAACCAGCATTGGACTCCAAGGAACTACAAAGGGAACCCCCCTCAAAGCCGAAAGTATGAGCACAGTGAGTGAAGAAACCTCCCTACTGATTGACAATTAAAATGGTTAAACTGCCAGTGCATATTAGCAGGATTAGCAATAAAATGATTTTACAGACTTGCGTACACAGACATATCAACTATTATTGAAGGAATGAGAAATCTGAATCCTGAGAATATTATATAGTATTTGAGACAAATTTCATAGAAGATCCAGTACATTAGTGGCGTAAAATTTAGAAGGGGAAATGAGTAATATTAATGAAGGACAAAGAAATTCATTTCTTGTTGAATCCAGCTGTCCAAACAAGACAACACAAAACACTGAGGAAAAAAAATCTCAACTGTTTCCTCCCCAAAAAAAAAAACAGCAGCATGCTGTTTGTAGAATGACTAGAATACAAATTGAAACAAACAAAAAAGGTAAATATTAACAAGAATGTGTATGGAAAATAGAATTAAAATGGGAAACTAATCGCAAAAAAAAAAAACGGATTTCATAATCGACACAAAACTGAGTGGTGCATATTTAAGCCAATGAATACCAAATCCCTCCCATATCACAGCATAAAGTTGAATAAACAAGTCAAAGCAAGCAAATAATTCAATGTCCAATCTACACCACGTGCTTAATACTTACCTTGGTCTTGAGGCGGAACCCTAAATATTCAAAGAATTCATGATAGTGAAGGAGTTTTAAGAATAGGAAGGAAACATTGCATCAACAGTAAAAGAAATAGCCAAATCCAAACAGAAAAATCAATATAATCACCTCAACAAAAATTCAAACAAGAATCCATGTAAATTAGGTGTCAGCTAGATAATGGTTCCTACTAAACAAGGCATAATATTAATGCAACCGAAATGTGCAAACGCACCTCGCTGATAACTTCATTAACCAATTGTTTTGCTGACTCAATCTGTTCGCTTGAACCATCAATCTGTAAGGTTCTTTCTGTAGATGTATCCCCCGGGGGTAAGTGCAATGGTATCACCTATGGAAAATCATAATAGATAATCCCACGTAATCCAAATTAAAAACAATAACTTATGTCATATGAACAAAAAGTGAAAAAGAGTTGCACAATTTTAGTAAAATATATATATATATATATATATATATATATATATATATGGTACTAAACTAAGTTTGAAATATAATGTGTGTAAAGAGTGAACAGACCTGAATACGTGCTCCAGTCCTAGCTTGCATACTTTTGATTGTTTCACCGCCTTTACCAATAACCAAGCCAACCTAGAAAAAGAACATTATAACAATCAGAAGTTCCATAAATAAACAAGAAATATGTTCTCAAAATAGATAAACAGTACTTGGGAAATTCCAAAACTAATTTAAGAACCTTATTGTTAGGAATTTTCATGACAAACTGCTCAGATCCTGATGGACCTGTTAATCTCCGCGATACTATGCCAGAACCTCCAGATTCAGCCTGTTTCAAATGTTAATTTTATGAGACAAAATCATTTCGAGCCAAGTTAAAAGACCTATCTACCACCAAAGTGAATTCAATCAAATTTTGTATGGAAATTAAAAATAAAATATTGCCAATAATATGAAGTTAGTAATTGAAAAAATGGTAATGAAATAGTTCATCCATTATCCAAGCCAGTGCATTGTTACACGGCATGCTAACGGTTTTAAGAGGAGACCACACTCAAATGTTGATACAGCTCCCCCAAGATACACCATGCAGTTCGAAAACTAGGACAAACCTCAGAAAGAACATCATTCATCAGCTGCTCGGCCTTAGCAATTTGATCAGGGGTACCCATTAGCTCAACCATCCGGGTAGCAGAATTGGGATCTGCGTCCATGTCCCGAGTAACTTGTATTTTTGCACCAGACTGGAGCTGAAGGTACTTGATGGTCTCACCACCTTTACCAATAATTACACCGACTCTACCATTAGGAATCTCAATTTTTTTGCTTGTCCCTTGGAAACCATAGGAAACAGGTATAGATGATG